TGAAGTTGATTGAAGATTTAGAAAAGAAATGATGGAGAGATATGAGATGAACAATTTAGGCTTGTTGCATAATTTTCTCGGGATATAAATTTATCAAGAGGAAGATATAGTCTTCATTTGTCAACAAAAATATGCTGAAAATTTATTAAATAATTTTTGGATGTTTGAGTGTAATCCAATTTATACACCACTAGTTATGGATGAAAAACTCAAGAAAAAAGATGAAAGAAGAAAAGTTTATGCTAGCAATTATAGAAGCTTGATTGGTAACTTATTTTATCTTACTAATTCAAGGTCTGATATAATATTTGAAACTAGTTTACTTTCTCATTTCATGAATGATCTGAACCATGTCCATCTAGGTGTAGTAAAAAAGGGTGTTAAGATATATTTAAGGAACCCTAACTTATGGAATAAAATGTGACAACAAAGTTGAAGCAATGTTAGTTGACTTTTGTGATAGTGATTGAGCAAGATGTATGGATGATATGAAAAACACATCTAGATATGTATTTTCACTTGTCTCCAGTGTGTTTTCATAGTGTGCATAGAAGAAACAAGTTGTATCTCAATCTTTTGCAGAGGCTAAATATATTTTAGCAAGCTTAGCAACCTAACAAGCAATTTGGTTAAAGAGAATACAAGAAGATTTTGTTGAGAAATAAGATGCTATAATTATTAATTGTGATGATAAATCAACCCTTGCTATGGGTAAGAATCTAGTTAATAATGGAAGAACAAAGCATACAACCATAACATCATTTTATTAGAGAAGCAATTAAAGAAGAAGTGAAGTTGCAAGTCCCTCGATCAACTTGATAATATTTTCTCAAAGATATTAGCTTTAAAAAAGTTTTATAAAATAAGAGAAGCTTTAGGAGTTCAAGAACACTACATTAAAGGGGACAATGTTGATTAATGTGGAGAATGTTGATTAATGTGTTGTCAAAAAAGTGCTTTGTGAATATTGAATGCATAATGAAGATATTTTAAGAGTAATTAATTGTATTGATGTGGTTATTTATATTAGTAACTATTATAGTATTCTAAGATTATTTATGAGTCTTTATAATATCTCTAAATGTAATGGAAATGTAAGTGAAAGGAAAAAGAAATACCAAAATAATAAAATCGAGAGTAATTCAATCCCCAAATTTTCTTCTAGTTACTCAACAAGATTTTGTATAATCTTACTGAACATAAGGTTTCTAGAGGGATATACCAACATCACCTATAGAAGGCCACCAACAAAAATACACTTTCTCACTCTAATTCATATAAGTTTATAACAACATTCATATTTTTCATCTAAAACACTTTATCTAAAGAATTCACGTTGTCTACAACTTCATTAACAATTTATTTTTAAACATTTATCAATGAGAACAAATTTTCTCTTGAATTCTTTATTTCTCTTTATCTTATTATCAAACAAAACAACTTTGGATTTATAAACTAGATTTTGACCTTTGAGTTATAAGCCTTAAATTTTGTTAATGATATAAACTCAAAACATAAATATAACTATTGACTCTTGACCTTTTATATTAACAACGAAAAATTGTCAAAACCCCTAAAATTAACATTTAAGTTTATTCAACAAAATCTCCCTGTAAACTTAAATCTTTCTACCATCCTTCATGCCGATTAACTTCTTACAATTATCGAAAAGTACTATTGGTAGTGCCTCAATATATTTATAACTTGATGTCAACTTGCCACATGCACTAACTCTACATTGCCTTCCCTAACATGTTTACAGATATAATGAAAATGAACATCAATGTGCTAGCTCCTTTCATGATTAACCAGATTCTTTACCAACTTTATTGTTGATTTGTTGTCAACTTATATGATAACCATTCCAAGTTGTTGTTGTTGCTGCAATTTACTTAAAATTTTTTTGAGCCATATTACAAAGCATAGACACCAAGAAGTTGTCACATATTCAACTTCGCATGTTGAAAGTGTTACGATTGGTTGTTTCTTTGAAAGCCAAGTAAAAGTCATGTTACTCACTAAAAAAACACATATCTCAAGGTACTTTTCCAATTATTTAAGTATCCACACCAGTTTCTATCTGAGTACCCGCCTAACCTATAATATCTCAACCTCATATAAAATAGCCCGAGTGACATTGTTCCTTGGAAATACCGCAATACGCCTTCTAATGTGTATAACTCGGCTCCTCCATGAACTAACTTGTAATACCAACGCTTAACATAAGATTTGGTCTTATGCATGTGAGATAGCAAAGCATTCCAACTAAGCTCCAATATTTGCTAGCATTAACTCACTCTCCTTCATCAAATTTTGAAAGTTTTGTACTTGGTTCCATTTGTGTTGAAATTGGATTGTAACCTACCATCTTGTATTTCTTCAAAATCTCCTTTGCATATGTCTCTTGAGATACAAAAGTGTCTGTCTCATCTTGTTCGACTTCCAAACCAAGAAAAAACTTTATCAAACCCAGGTCTAACATCTTGAACTCCCTTTTCCATTTACTCTTGAGCTCTTAAACCATCTCACCATTGTTTGCCATAAAAATAAGATCATTCATATAAAGAATAACAAATAATGTATTACTTCCACTTTTCTTTACGGAAAGAGCATATCTATAGAAATACTATTCAAACATGTTCTCCTTGAATATATGTATCAATACGAGTGTTCCATGCCTGAGGTACTTGCTTCAACCCATAAAGAGCCTTATTCAATTAGTACCTTCATCTCTTCTCCATTCTTCATGTACCCAGTGGTTGTTCAACGTAAAACCTCATTTCGAGCACACCACACAAAAAAGTCAACTTGACATCTATTTGTAATATCTACCAATTGAATTGAGTTGCTTGTGAAATGAGCAACCGAATAATCTTTGTTCTCGTAACTAGAGCAAACACCTCATCATAATCAATTCCATCATTTTGCTTATATCCTTTTACAAGTCATGACTTGTAACTTTCTATCTCCCCTTAAGAATTCATCTTTTTCTTGAAGACCCACTTTACACCAATGGGTCAACTACCACTCAACAATTTTGTCAACTCTCATGTGTTGTTGTGTTCAATTGCTCTAATCTCCTAGTCCATAACAACTCATTACTTATTGTCTCGCACTGCCTCTGCATAACTTATATTCTCGAAATTTGTCAAACAAACGATGTGTACCTCATTTTTAGAATCATATAGATCTTCCAAACTTCACATTCTAGGTTGTTAGCTCATATAGAATTTCACTTCCATTGATATCCTCCAATGAATCTCTCCAAATCCATTCACTTGCTTCGTTAACTTGGACATCACTAGTCACCATGACTTTCTTGGTTATTAGATCTAGTTGCTTATAACCTTTAGTCTTCTCATCATATCCAATAAAAATATACTTTCTACTCTTGTCTCCGAGTTTCGTTCTTCGTTGATCCTACACATGTGCATAGGTCATATTGTCAAACACTTTAAGATGAGTCACAAATGATTTTTTTTTCGTTCCATGCCTCTTGTGGAGTTTGATCATTCAATTTTGCATGTGGACGTTGATTTTGTACGTAAATGGCACATTGCACAACTTCTACCTAAAACTTCTTTGTCATATTCTTACTTTTGAGCATTGACCGAACCATATCAAAAACCAATTATTTTCTCCTCTTAACCACATCATTTTGTTTTGGTGAGTATGGTGTTGCTAAAAATTGCCTTATTCTTTCCTCTCACAATACTTCATGAAGGTTATCGATGTATTCTCACCACCTCTATCGGGTCAGATTGCTTTGATGTGTCTACTAGTTGCCTTCTCCACCATCACTTTAAACCTTTTAAACACCTCAAACACCTTAGATTTTTCTTTTAGGGAATAAACTCAAATTTTACATGAGAAATCATCAATGAATGAAATAAAATATCTTTGACCACTAAAGGATTCTAGGGTAATAGGTCCACATATGCCAATACGAATAAACTTGAGATGTTCCTTTGCATGATTTTTAGTCTTCTTTTGAAATGAGGTTCTTGTATGCTTGTGGAACACATATTCTTCACAAAATCTTCCTTCGTACTTTATGATCGGTAGCCCATGCATCATATTCCTTTTTGCCAACCCATGCATCATATTCTTTTTTGGCAACTCGTTTAAACCATCGTGTTGGACTACATCACAATTATCTTGGGATTGAAGAAGAGTTTTGAACTAAATGTTCTAATTGTCATAGTTCGTTATCTTCCTTCGCTAGAAAGAACAAGATACAAATTAGTCTCACTCTCCATCACGCTCAAGTTCAAAATACCAATTTGAGAAATTCTTTATTTCTCTTGTTTTTATTGTCTAGCAATATTATGAATTTATAAACTGGAATTTGATATTTGAATTCCAAATCTGTTAATGATATAAAATCAAAACATAAATATAACTACCTACTTTGCAGCTTTTACATTAAAAAAAAAACCCTGCTAAAACACCAAACATTTAGGTTTATTTTAAAAAATCAGTAGGGAGTACTCACCAAACACGATTTATTCACAAATCATTATAATTTCATTGGCCAAATCAACACCATGAGTTTAAATTCCATTGATAAGTGCATCAGACAAGACCTTTCTCGCAAAGATCAATCAAGAGTGGCAAACAATGCAAGCCTATCTTTCACCGTCTCCCACATTTCAAAACCTTCATTTCCTTGGATTCACAACTTCCCAGCACGAACTCTAAAAGCCTAGCAGATTTACATTTATCCAAACAAACACAACACAAACCCCACCCAACATCATCGGTGATGACCCATAAAACATTCACAAGATGTTCCAGCATCTTAAAAATCAAATTCACTGTGAGAAGCATCATTGGTCAAAATCTTCCCAGAGACATTGTCGCTGAAGGAAAATCATCAAGAAGACGAGAACAACCACCAACCACAATCCCCGAGTCTTAAACGGTGGGTGCCGTGCAAGAATCGAACTTCAGGGTTTCTTTGGATTCCAAAGATTCACATCTCAGCTTCATTGATCCGTATGGATCCAATTCTTGATGGGAACAACACACCAAAGTGTATATGCTATGCATCATCAACAGAAAGTGCAACCTTTTAGTGAGAGAAGTAAAGAAACTAAGATAAGTAGCTGAATACAACATTAGTAAGGAAGTAAACTAACTTACAGGTGTTGGCAAATTTTGGGTCATGTATATATATGATACATATTTAAATGTGTTAGGGTCATTATTTATTAAGCCAAATAATAAAGTGATCTGAATAAATTAAAGTTTTGGCTAAAGGCATATGTCATGAAAATATGATTGTGTAGAGACCATAGAATAATTTCTAATTTGATGAGGGGCCAAATTAAAAATACTAAAACTTAAGTAATTAACCTAATTTTGGTTATTTAAAGGGTCATGGTCCCCTTCTGAGAGCACATAGATAGAACGTAGTTACAGTCCCGTTCTTTTCTTTCTATCCCCATCAAGAAAGAAAATCAAGAGGGAAATACAGGTGCTCTTCAGGTGGAAGACCATAAGATCAAATCAAAAGTGCTCTACAAAGGATATCATCATTATGGCCAATTTAGATGGTCCAAGGTTTTCTGGTGATTTTGGAGGCCCCTAGTAGCCTTGATGTTTCGGAGGAGACCCTTCATCACTCACTTTACCGGATGCCAACCCTGCAGCGGAAAGTATAATGCCATGTATTCCGCCGATGATTGTTGGAACGGAATGCACAAGGCTCTCAATTTCGCCGATAACCAAGTCATGCGCAATTACGGTTTCCTGTGCCTGGATCTACTCGATAACTTCGTTTCCCCTCTCCCTTTTGATTATCCACATTCCTCGTGACGATGATGATAACCCCAGTGCGAAGGACCCAATGAGCTTGGATAGATTTTTGTGCGGCCCAGTAATTAAGATGGATAGATGATAAACATGTGCATGTGCATGCGTTCAGAACTTTCTTTCATCGACCTGTACCATTATCGGAGTTGTGGGGTCACGCTCACGGACCCTCACCCATGTCAATATATTAGTTACTATGGTATTTTAGTGTACCCGAAAAGATCAAGATGCCCCTATAAACCTGTGAACGTGTGAATTGTGATGTGCATTCCAATATGAGCATTAGTTAGTGCAGCATATACTATAAACGGGCTTCTTTGATGTCCTCCCGGGAACTTTGATTTGTGTTGTCCGAAGTACAGCTAGAGGCATTTCCCTTTTGTTTGGCGAGTCTTTTTGCCATCCTTCGGTGCTTCACTTTCATTGATTTAGCACAAGCCGTTCCATCACTTAAACCAAGGCGTGTTGCTGCATGCAGGTTAGAGACAACGTACATTACGAGATCCTCTGAGAAAGTCTGCTGAAAGTTAGCTAGATCATTAGTCAAGGCTAAGATGGGGTAGCATATAGATTTAGGTAAGCATATATTCAATTTGATCTTATTTTTACAGTGAGAGGACAACATTGAAGTCTGCTGTTGGCAAATTGTAGTTTTGTTATATAATCACTATATTCAATATAAATAAATGATTATATAAATTTGGTTTTGTTATATAAATAAAATATTACTTTTTTGGTAGTTTAATATTTTTTTTGTGAACAAATTGAGTCAAGAAGTTACCAAAGTAACCTCTGTTGAATTGGGTAGTTCGTAAAAAATATTGAATGTTAGTGTTTGTGTATATTCATGCGAGTATTAGTCGGCCCCAAGGAAGATTAATATTTGGCCGAATTACATACACACCTGTAATGATAAACATGTGATAATTATAAGGATTTTCTTTGTCGATGATAAATCAATCCAAAGATTGGTTTGTTGTTGGACGTGCTTTATTGTCAATGTTTGATTATTACAACAAGATACCTCTAGCAGTTAATATTCTTGTCCAAAGACTTGATATTGATGGTGCATTGGGTGTCTTGAGATGGGTTAAACCATTATTTGAATATATATTTTATTTATAATTATTTATTTTATAATGTGAGCATAATTAGTTTATTTCTTTTGTTCTAATCCAGCTACAATTGTTTCTGTATCTGCCAATTTAAATTCTGTTCCGGTCCTTAATGGAACAAATTTTAAGGACTGGAAAGAGAACATTGATATTATTCTTGGCTGCATGGATATGGATCTTGCGTTAAGGACTGAGCAACCCCCTGTTCCTACGGATTCAAGTACCTCTGAACAGAAAAGAGATTATGAAAAGTGGGATCGCTCAAATCGCATGAGTCTAATGATCATTAAGCGCTCGATCCTAACAATTGGTATCAGAGCCAAGGTCACAAGTTCGATTCCTGGTGTGCAATTGTTAAGGGGGAGATTGTTGCAGGTTTCACAATTATCCCGTGGTGCAGGCTAGGTGGGCCAAGTCACAATCAGTGGCGTAGGCTAGATGGACCAAGTCACAATCAGAGCGCAACTCTTTTTACTTAAGAGTAACAACCTAAGCGCCACAATTCGATTGTGACTCGGCCCACCCGGCCTCCGTCACAGGATAATTGATGCTATGCTACCTGCAACAACATGTAGTCATAATTATCAACATTCAAATACCCTAATTTCAATCTAATTTGACCGTGTGTATATATTCTGTTTCTAACGTGCAGCGAGAGATGAGGAGGCCAATAGCAACAGTGAAGAGCTTAAACAAAAGGAAGTGTTTCTGAGGGACAACATTTCGATGTGGATTGGAAGCAGGGGATACATAGTTCTGTCTGTGGTTTCCATAATCGTAATCCCCTTAATGTTTCCTCAGCTGAAATGGTTCTACGTTGTCATTGCTTACATCCTGGCCCCATCCCTGGCGTTCTGCAACGCCTACGGAACGGGTCTCACTGACATGAACATGGCGCACAATTACGGCAAAGTGGCGCTCTTCGTGGTGGCAGCAATGAGTGGGAGAGACAAGGGCGTAGTGGCGGGACTCGTAGCTTGCGGTCCGGTGAAATCCGTGGTCTCGTGGCTTGTACTCCGATGCACGATTTCAAAACGGCGTATTACACGTGCACTTCTCCCAAGGCTATGTTCATATGCCGGTTGATCGGCACTTGCTCGGGGTGCGTGATAGCTCCCCTCGGCTTCTTTCTCTTCTACAAGGCCTTCGATGTGGGGAACCCGAATGGGGAGTTCAAGGCTCCTTACGCGCTTATTTACGAAACATGGCGGTGTTGGGAGTGGAGGGTTTGTCAGTGCTGCCCCATCATTGCTTGCAGCTTTGCTACGGGTTCTTCGGCTTTGCGGTGGCCGTGAACTTGGTGAGGGACATTTGCCCGAAGAAGATTGGGAAGTGGATGCCCTTGCCCATGGTGATGGCGATACCATTTCTGGTTGGAGCGTACACTAGTACAGAAATCACTTTTAACATCGGGCTTTCCACATCGGTTCTTTAAGAACCGATGTAGAAAGTGAATTCAAGACTTTCAACATCGGTTCCCAGATGAACCGATGTAGAAAACACTTTCTACATCGGTTCCCAGATGAACCGATGTAAAAAATACTTTAGAAAATTGGTACTGGCAGGATTCGAACCCAATACCTTGAAATCGGAGACTGATACTCCAACCACTAAGCTACCAAGATTTTCTAATAATAACATATACATAAATTATATTTATATACAAATAAAAATGTATATCCATGTAAATATATAAATATAAAATATATAAATACAAATACAAATATATTTATATATTTATATGTTGGATGTGAGAGCGCACTCGAGAGTAAAAGTGTGCGTCAAGTGGGTTTTCAAAATTTGATGTCAAATTTGTGAGCAAGTTTCTTTATATGAATTTATAATTTAATGATAGAATATAATCTTTATAATTTATTTATAATAATATAGAATATAATCTTTATAATTAATTTATATAATGATATAAAATAAAGAAAAAAAATTATTTTATATCATTATATAAATAAATTATAAAGATTATATTTTGTCATTAAGTTATAATCCATATAAAGAGACCCGCTCACAAATTTGACATCAAATTTTAAAAATTCACTCGACACACACTTTCATCCTCGAGCGCGTCCTCACATCCAACATATAAATATATTTGTATTTGTATTTATATATTTTATATTTATATATTTACATGGATATACATTTTTATTTGTATATAAATATAATTTATGTATAAGTTATTATCGGAAAATCCTGGTAGCTTAGTGGTTGGAGTATCGCCTTCCGACTCTAAGGTACTAGGTTCGAATCTTGCCAATGACAATTCTCTTAATCCGATAATAATTCAAATTCCTAAAAAATATAAATAATAAAAATATAATATAAAAAGGTTATAAAAGGGAGAGGATAGTCTAGGAAACTCTAGATGAATAGATAGGGTAATTAGAGATGTGTTATGAATAAAAAAAATAAAAAAAAATATTAGACTTTCTACATCGGTTCTTTATAACCGATGTAGAAAGTCACACTTTCTACATCGGTTGTATCTACATCGGTTCTAGAACCGATGTTAAAAGTTCCTGAGAACCGATATTAAAAACCTATTTTGTACTAGTGGTACTTCGCCATCGATATGTGCCTGGGGAGTTTTGTGGTTTATGTGTGGCAGAAGGTTAACCCAAACAAAGCAGAGGCCTTCCTGCAACTGCCTGGACTCATTTGTGGGGAAGGCCTGTGGGCGCTTCCGGCTTCCATTCTCGCTCTCGCCAAAATTAAGTCTCCTATCTGCATGAAATTTTTTTGCATCATAGAATCAAATACACAATAAATGCCAGTGTTAGCATCTACACGTCATTATATCTCGGAAATTTGTGTGGAAATGGGCAGATAAGATTATAAAACAATGTTTTTACAGGCTCTTTTCTCTATCTATATATAACATGTATTTACGTGTATTTGATAATCTCGATCGTTATAAATAAAATTTATGGAATAAGGAAATATATCATATTTCACTAATTTTGATGTATATACGATGTTTGGAGATGAATAATATATATATATATATATATATATATATATATATATATATATATATATATATATATATATATGAAACCAGAAATTTTATAACACAGAATTCACGTATAAAAATTAATTATTATATAAAAATAAATATATTATATATTTAATATTATTAATCAAATTTAAATTTTGGATTGCAAAATTTATTTCATTTATCTTTTTTTTTCTTAAAAATAATCTATAATTTAAGTTTTTAATAACTTAAACTTTTTTTCGCATTTTAACATCAAAATAAAATATTTAAATAATTTATAACAAATATAAAAATTTATATCAATATTCGTATTTTTATATTATATTGCGCATGTTAATTTGTTATAATAATAAATAAAAAGATAACTTTTTTTAATTTTTTTACATAAAAAAATTATTATGAGATATCTTCTTTATTTTTATTTTTTTTAACTTTGCATTTTATGCCTTCTTCAACAGAAGACGAAAAATCTAAAAAATCTGAAAGAACAAAAAATTAAAATATTTAACTATATGTTACATAATAATTTATCAGTTGATTGTAATTATTATTTTCAATTACGTTCATTAGCCTAATTAATTGTAGTTTCTATTATAAATATTATGTCTCTATATTATTTGGACACAATAGTTGTAAGAACCAATTTATATTGCATATATAGTTTATGTTTTGTGCCTCTCTCTAGATACTTTTCTCTCTCTGTCGACATGTTTGAGACCTCCTTTTTGTTAACTGTGGTATCAAAAGTTTCAAGATCTTAGAAGAAGGAAGGTAGAAAAAAGAAGAGCAATGGCAAATGACAAAATCTGAGTTGCATGACAATATATTAGTACTCGATAGCAAGAACCTGAATGGTTACGATGGTTATGAAGATGAGAGCCATTTTTATCTTCCAAGAAGTCTTGGACGTGGTTCTAAATGGATATGAGTGATTACTGAAAAATCTCATTGAGGCACAATGTGCGACGTTTCAAGAGACGAAGAAACGTGATTACAAAACTTTGTTCTATATTCATCAATGTATCGATGAAAACAACTTTGAGAAGATTTTGTTGACAAACTTAGCGAAATATAAGGATGGTGTCACTTCAAACCTTGTATCGTCAATATAAGTTATTGCAGATAAGGATGCAAGAAACCATCCAAGAATACTTTAGAAGATTGTTTTCGATCACAAACTTCAAAGCAAGAGCAGTGGTGGAGAAGGTGTTAAGAACCCTTGATTTTGAATTGGATATAAATTTTGTTGCTATAAAAGAGTCCAAGGATCTTGATTTGTTAAAGTTGGATGAATTATAGAGGTCATTGGAAGCTCACAAATAACAATTACGTAAGAGGGCAACTTACAATGCATAATAGGCTTTGTTGACAAAACAAAACCAAAAGAATGAAGGTAATAGAGGAAAATCGAACAAGAAAGGTCAAGGAAGAGGTAAAAATAATGGTGGATGAGGCTCAGAAGGACAACAAGAGAGTTCTTCATAATCAAGAGGTGGTAGATCTGATTTTGGTTATGCTAAGAAGAATATATAGTGTTACAACTGTTACAAGTATGATCATTATGCAACTAACTGTTGGAGTAAAGAAGAAGAAACAAATGCTGCATAGTAAGAAGACTTGGAGGATGAAGTGTTGTTGATGGTGACCATGACAAAACCAGTGGAGACTTTGGTCAATCCTGGTACTTTGACACAAGTTGTTCGAATCACATGTTGTCTCAGAGGAGTTGGTTTGTTGATCTCGATGAAAATGTTAAATTGAAGGTGAAGTTTGCAGATAATTTGATATTGAACTGTGAAGGGACTTGCTATACTTATAACCCACACATATCACCACATGGAATGACATGAAAAGGAGTTTCTAAACAATATGTCTGGGCATCTAAAACCTCAACCATCAGTAAAGAAATTAGTGATATTACACAATTATAGAGAGAGACATTGTGTACTAGTAGAGATTTAACAAGTTGTGTTTGACATGTCCTAACCATCAAATAAATGCACAATTTTTTATCCATTATTTTTATGAGGGGTTGATATCTACGAAAAGGATCATGATTTTTGTGGCTAGGGGTGGAGCTTTGATGATCAAACACCAATAGTTACTAGATACTTCATTTCCAATATGGCAGAAAATTCTCAGTAGTGTAGCATAAGAAATATGAGTTTTAGATCCATGCATGAGACTAGTATAGTTGTTGAAGAAATACCTAGAGGTTGGAGAATAAAATTACATAACTGACATCTCTTGTGACACAACTAGTTGTGGGATAGCAAGTGAATGTTGTGCAACAACTCCTAAAATCATGTGCCATTTGTGCAGCAATTGACCATTACACAAATACATACCCTTAACTTCAGGAGATAAATCCAACACCATCCAAGGTAGTGACAAGTGTATTTCCTATATCACAGGCTTTCTTTTAGCCTCCTGTCCAACAATATAATAATCATTACTCTAACAGATATAATCCTGGCTAGAGAGATAATCCAAACTCGGGGATGGTCCAAGACCAAGACAACAACACAAATTTCAATAGTAGTAGCACCAACAAAAATACCAAGCCTTTCCATTCAGGCAACAACAACAACAATAGTTTGCATCGACAACAATATTAGTAGCAAGCACCTATGCAAACAAGTTTTAGATCTTCCCTAGAGAACCTCATTAAACAAATGAACACAAACAATTTACAATTTCAGCAAAATGTTAGTGTAGCCATTCAGGGCCTAAATACTCATATTGGTTGATAGCCACTATAGTGAATAACATGCAGCAACAAGGTTTGGTGCCCTCCCTTCTCAACTAGTTGTAAATCCAAAGGGAAACATGTGTGTCATTACACTGAGGAGTGCTAGAGAGTTGAATAAAAAAATAGTAGTCAATCATAATATTTCAGCCCCTACACCACAGTAGCATAGTCCAGTTCCTACGATAGTTAAACAACATATTCCAATACATCAACCACCACCTTCTTCTAATTCCCCAGCACCAAGGATTCCTCTTCCTTATAGGGCCACTCAGTCGAAGAAGTTAGAATTTGATAGTGAGCTACTTAAGAGTTTTAAGAAAGTAGAGATAAAAATTCCTCTCCTTGATGCAATTAATTAGATTTTAAAATACGTAAAATTCCTTAAACAAATGCGTACTTACAAGAGGAGTCTAAGAGATGAACTTATTTAGAAAATGGGAAGGAATGTGTTTGCACTGATGCAAAGTAGATATTTTATCCCTTAGTCCCAGTCTAACCTTCCACAAGAATGTGATGATCCTAGCACTTTTATTATTTCATGTACTATTGGTGAATGAACATTTGTTACTACCATGTTAGATTTGGGAGCTTCTATTAATATTATGCCTGTAAAAATGTATAGAT